CTTTCGTTACATCACAAATTGCAGAAGGTAATACTTTTAACTACGCTTTTGTAGATGAATTTTTTGGAGTCTCTTTTTATTGATATGTCCCAAAGAAGAGAATTAAGTGTGCAAATAGTCGCTCTGCCTGTATTAATTCTACACCTGTTACACTTTCTGTATCTAAAATTAAATCTTCTATTTCGCTATTTCCGACCACTAGATATTCACACTTAGATATATTCGTGTTAGTGCCCGCGGCTTCTTTTCTCCTTTTTATTATTATTATTAATCATCTTGTTCTTAGGACATTTCGATTTGGTCTTCTGCAACGAATAAAATGCCATGTCATTCCCTACTTTCAGTTCCATTTTCCTCATTTTTAACCCTCTTCACTAGAGCTCTCTCTAAATATATTTTGAAGAAAGGAGGAGAAAGACAACATAGCATTCTCATTCTTTTGGTTGTAATTAATGATGCAGACTACACTTCCTAGTTTAATTCTAGACCGGTTATCCCTATAATATTTATGCATAGCTCTAATCTAGTCAGTCGTCAGAAATATGATCTATAAAAACAAGATAAACAAGCTGAAGTTTGCTAAGAATGTCAATTTGGGACCACAACAAAGGTGTAAAAAACATTGTCATCTCTACCACCGACTTCCCCTTAAAACTCTTTCTCGTAGGAGGAAAAAATACATCGATTTACTAAGAATTTGTGGGCCGTAGAAAAAAATATTTTAAATAAGAAATCTAGCTAAGATAATTTTGAACAAAAATATTTATTAGCACTTTTTGTGAAGAATGGACCTTTCTCTCAGAAACAACGCTTGAAGCGACCTGCGATTTTAAATGTCAGTGGCGCGAGCAAAATAAAATTTTCAATTTTTAAATAAATAAAATTTATAATAAATTTAATAAAATTTCAATCTTTCATTGACTTATCGCTGTGGAATGTCCATTATTAGAGCCTAATCTTCACGTAATCTTCAAAACCTATAATATGAAATATCCATTTCTAGTTTGGGTAACAAATATGTGGCATTTGAAATATGCCTAAAAAACTCTGAATTTAAACTTTCACATTACAAACGCATGGGAAATGCTTACACGAAGACGTCATTGGGTGGAATTTATAGCTGAAGAAGTGTATTTTAGAAAAACGTCGTTGTGCAATCGAAAAGAAGCAATTTTAAATGTTTTAGATCGTTGAATGTTAAAGTTTAACAGTGTTTCAGTTCAGCGTTTTTTAGACATTATGTCAAATATCTCATATTCGTTGCCAAAACATATAATCGAAGCTTTATGCTACAGGTTTTTGAAGATTGGGCTTTAACAATGGAAATTCTATAGTATCTCATGAGATTCACTCAACGTTTATTTATTTATCAGCTTTATAGAAAATGACTTCATTTACAACAAAATAACAAAAATTCATACGAAACCTGCACTCTTTACCTTTAAAACGAATTTTAATTGTAGTCAATAGAATATCCTGATCAAAAGATATCGAATTGTTACCATTTAGTTCATACAAAGATTGATTAAAAAATAGATTTCGCGCATAACTAATCGGTTTATTTTACACAAAAAGTGTCAATAAACAATTCTGTTAATAATTATTTGAGCCACATTTCTCATTTGAAATATGTTTTCTACGGCGTACAGATTCTCGGAAAATCGATGTTTTTCGTTCTCCTCCCTAGGTGAGGGGTTTTAGGGGGATTGCCGAGAGAGAGATGAGAAGTAAACTCTTTGGCATCTTTTTTGAGGTCCAAAAATTCGACATTCTCAGCAAAATTCGGCTTGCTCGTATGATTTTTGGAGGTTCAATGTCGTCTTTGAATACTAATGCAGTAATCAAGAAGGGACTAATTTCTAGATTTTGCATTTCTGGCCATAGTCACACAATCGGCAGTACCGTCATATACTGTTTTAAGATGTACTAAAGCTATGTATTTCACTGTGGCCTTTTTCCAATGCAATTTTTGGTGTAAAACTATTATCTACAGTAGACCTACCTGCCCAAAATTCTGCTTGTTCTTCTGTTTGTTTATATTTATATTTCGTTTTCAAAAACTTCCTTTAAAATTACAGAATAAATTCTCGCTATCGTTGGTATTACTGCTATGACCTTGTAGTTCTTCTGGTTAGGTTTTATACCTTTTTATTTGTAGGCGAAATACAAATTCACTTCAATTTATCCTTTAACCGGTTAATTGAATGTTCTGGGCATTATTTAGATAATTTTCCCGGGTTTCTGTGAATAATTCAATAAAGTGCTCTATCTACTGTTTGCTATCTTAATTTTATCATTCATCCTTACGCTTTTTAGAGTCCTTAATTTATTTTGCCAGGCACTGTTCTTCTTCTTTATACTTCTTGTTTGTTTTATTAATTTGCCTGTATTCTTCTACTATTTGTTCTCATATGTTTTGAATTCGTCGTAATTTTCTTTCTTTTTCTTAATCATCTCTTCAGTTTATTTGTCCTAATAGTACGTTTTACCAACCTTCTCGTCTTTTCTTCTTAGGGCGTTTCCGCTGCTTCTTTAATGCAGGTTTTTATATGTTAATATTCTTCTTCGGTAGATGTTTCCTTTAATAAGATTTTTGTTCCGGCTTCCAAGAATAAACTAAACGTTTACTTGTATTATCTAGATATTCCAAGTTATATTTAATTCCCTCGATGTTATCCTTAGTATTCTGATTTTTTTTGTTGACACTTCTGCAAATGGTTGCAAACTTGTTCTGCTTCTTGTTCCCAAAGTGTACGCTGTTGTTTCAGATTTACATACTCATTTATGAATATCTCTGTGCTTACAAAAAGTCATTCATTATTTTTAGTTTATATTGTTCGCATATATTTTTTCAACATGATTCTTATCTAAAAGCATGTAATAATAACTATAACTAAACATTTCTTTATCCTTTTAATTCTTAGATTACAGTAATTCTTTTAATCTTACGAAATTTTATGAAATCTTTTTTTTAATGTATATGGTGTCCAGAGATTATCTTCAGAAACGTTAATAACATTAAACATCATCATTATTCTGGCTTTACAACCCTGCGTGGGTCCTAGCCTCCTCAAGAACTTCTTTCAAATCGTCCCTATCGATGGCTTTTCTCCGCCAAGCGCGTATTCCCATATTTCTCATGTCTTCATTAATGTTATCAAGGAACCTTGTTTTGGGTTTTCGTCTTCTTCACTCAAACATCCTATCTTTATATGTTTTACAATATCATGTTTCTAGTATATTTCATAAAGTTCGAAGTTGTATCGCCTTCTCCACACTCCATTGTCATTCACTGCTCCATAGATTAGCCTTAGTACTTTTTTTCGAAACATCCTAACATGTTTTCATTATTTCTTGTTAGAGTCCAGGTCTCTAAATCATATATTAGGACTGGGCGTATTATTGTTTTGTAGAGTTTTATTTTTGTATCTCTCAATATAATTGTGGGTTTAAGAAGATTGAACCCAAAATAGCATCTTCTGTCCATGCAAATTCTGCGGTTTATCTCTGCGGTAGTATTATTTTCAGTGTTAAGGAGCGCTCCCAAGTATACAAATTCGTTCACTGCTTCAATGACGTTGTTTTCTATAACATGTGGTCGTAGAATTTGTAGTTGTGTGCTTATTTTTATATACTTTGTTTTGTTGGTGTTTATTATTAAACCCATTTTTGTAGCTGATTCTTTTAATGCACAGCATTTTCCGTTCTCCCAACAATATTGATATCATTAACATAGGCCAGGATTTGCACTGATTTATTGTATATTGAACCAGTAGTTGTGATCTATGAGATACGCATTACTTTTTCAGCCAGATTGAACAGTATACAGGAGAGAGGGTTTTCCGTTTCGCACCCCGTTATTTGTTTTAAAAGATTCAAACAGTTCCCCCTGCATTCCCCCTACATTCGTACTCTACATTCAACTTTTTCAAGAGTTAGTTTTATTAAATTTACCAACTGATTTGGTATTCCTAGCTCTTTTATTGCTTTGAACATTTCTCTTATATTCACAGAATGGTAGGCTACTTTGTAATCTATACATATGTGATGAGTATCAATGCTATATTCCAGTGATTTTGTTAAAATTTGTTTCAGGGTTGCAATGTAATGAATTGTCTGGTATTTTCCTACTATCCGTTCTGCTTGTGGTGCCATACGGAAACATTTTATACGCTGTAGAAAATATTTTATACGCTGCATTTAGAAGCGTAATTCCTCGGTGGTTAGAGCATTCAAAGATATCACTTTTTTGTATATGGTAGAAACTAATTTAATATTTCAATCATTGGGGAGGAATTTCTGTGTCCCTATTTCTTTTATAAGCTGCCGTAATGCCTTTATGGTATCATGACCACCTTCTTTATATAGTTTACCTGGGAGATTATCTATTCCAGGTGATTTATTTCTGGCTAGTTTTTTAACTGCATCTTTAACTTCAAGAATCGTTGGTGGTTCCTCTTCCCTCTCGTCTGTTCCTCTTACCTCGTCTCTTTCGTCTTCCAGGTTTTATTTTTGTTCTTCTATATTAAGTTCCTGGTTAAAATATTTTACCCATCTATTCGATTAATCTTTCCTTGTTGTTAACAGATCAGTTAAAATTCAGAACATTCTGACTTTTACATTGTCTTTTGGTTGCCTTGTCTTTTTTTTGTTGATTCAGAGAATTCTATAAGAAAGTTAACATCAATAAAAACGTTAAACACCTTACGCAAAAATGTTGAAGCTCGTTAGAAATTGCACCTATTTACTTCCTTGTAAGTAATAATATTTTATACATTTTTATGCAACCCTATTGCATAAATATTCTGTAGGGTGAATATAAAAGGGGTGTATTAAATATTTTTATACAATTTTTTTTCTGCAAATCACCACATTATTTAAACATGTCGTCTTTTGATAATTTCCTTTAAAAAGGTTTCGATTTAATTTGAACCCTAATACAGGAGATTAAAAACAGCAAAATACTTTAAATAGAAACTTGTTAAAAGAATAAGGGAACAATGATGCCGAAATTATGCAGGAGCAACAGCGAAAGTGTAACTTTTGATGAAGCTATTTCTTTAACAGGTAATTATTCTCCTCCAATTATAATTGCAGCCTAACAAAAAAAAATTGTCTTGCTACTGAAAAAAAATCAACTGTTTTTGGTTAATTCTTTTGTGCTGATTCTAAAAATACAAACCTTTTCTTTGTATCAGTACTAGTTTTCGAGATATAACATAATCATCAAATACTTAAATAGTCTTTCATTTCTGTATATTCCACCACTATAATTGTAATATGTTTATAAACAAACGCCTCCAGACTAAAAGAAAAGAATCTTATTCACCCAGACACCAAAGTTACATACTACTATTATAGAGAAAATTTTTGCTCCAATCATAGCTTAGTTATTGGTGGAACCATCTTCCCACATAAAAATATTCACAAGGTTACATGGACTGCACCAGGTCATATAAGAGAAAATCAAATAGACCACATCGCTATATCAAAAAGATGGAGATCATCTCTTCTTGATGTACGTAACAAAAGAGGCGCAGACATCGCAAGTGACCATCATCTTGTAATCGGTACCATTAAAATCAAAATGGCAAAAAACAAAATCACACGAAACACCAAACGACCAACATACAATCTAGACAAATTAAAAACGGCTACAGAAAGACACATGTTTAAGGAGGAACTCCAACTCAAAAGAAGAGAACGTGAAGTAAATAGCTGGGAAGATCTGGCAAATGTTTTGACAGAAATAGCTGAAGATAAACTGGGAAAAAAAGAGAAACATAGAAAAGAATGGATATCAGATGAAACTTGGAATCTTATCGAAGAAAGAAAACAGCAAAAAAAAGATATTTTGCAAGCAAGAACTGTAGAAGAAAGAGCGAACCGACAACAAGAATATGAAACAATAAATAAAGCAGTTAAAAGAAATGCAAGAAGAGACAAAAGAAGATGGGCTGAAGAACTGGCAAAACAAGCCAAAATAGTTGCACAACACAATAGAACTAGAGAGCTATACCAAATTACTAGACGTCTAACAAAAAGTGGGCCCAACTGTTCAAACGTCGTAAGATCCAAGACAGGAGAATTACTTACTACAACAAACGACCAAATAGAGAGATGGAAAGAGCATTTTCAGGAGATGCTAGGCACGCCCAGGGATAACGCAGATGAAATTGTCGAAAATCCACAGAATATAGACTTGCGTATATCTTGCGACGCTCCTTCCAAAACAGAGATAATAACAGCTATCAAATCTCTGAAAAATAACAAGTCTCCGGGAATCGATAACATTGCTGCCGAAATACTTAAAACTGATCCGCATCTAACTGCTGAACTTTTGCTCCCCATAATCCGAGAGGTGTGGGAAACAAACCGCATTCCAGCGGACTGGAAAAAAGGCATCATTATTAAGCTTCCAAAAAAGGGCAACCTCACACTATGCAAAAATTGGAGAGGAATAACCTTGCTTACCGCCATAAATAAAATCTTCACGACCATCATACTTAAAAGATTAACAAACAAGGTTGAATTTCGAGCTAATCAAGTAGGATTTAGACCAGAATCCTCCTGCATAGACCACATTAATACTGTGAGGCTAATAATGGAACAATCGGCTGAATGGAACACACCCCTTTACATGGTTTTTGTTGATTTCGAGCGTGCTTTTGACAACTTATCTCATGATGCGATATGGAAAATTTTAGAGCTAAGAAACATCCCGCATAAAATAATTTCCATTATAAAGTTACTGTACACTGAAGCGAAATGCAGCGTGACACACAATGGGATCAACAGTGACGAATTTGACGTACTTACTGGAGTCAGACAGGGATGCGTGCTTTCTCCGTCTCTTTTTAACATAGCTCTAGACTAGTTCTCTCCAAACTAGACTCTGGCACAAGAGGGATACAATGGACGTTAACCACACGCCTAAGCGATCTAGAATACGCCGACGATATCTGCCTGTTAGGACAAAGGTTCCAAGATATGGCTGACCAATTGGAAACACTTTCCACTGAAGCCAATAAAATAGGTTTGAAAATCAATATTGGTAAAACCAAATCCATGAGAATAAATGCAAGAAACAACACGCTATTCACCATTAATAACATGCAGATTGAAAATGTGGAAAACTTTACGTATCTTGGAAGTGTCATAACAGAAAGCGGAGGTACAGAAGACGATATTCGTATGAGGATACGAAAAGCGCAACAAGCTTTCAGCATGCTCAACCCTGTTTGGAGGTCTGGAGACTAAACTACGAGGAAAAAGATCCGCATATTCCAGTCAAATGTCATGTCTGTACTACTTTACGGATGTGAAACCTGGAAAGCGACAAAAACCCTTACAGACAAACTACAGGTCTTTGTTAATAAATGTCTACGAAGAATTGTTCATATCTTCTGGCCTAACATCATCAGAAACGAAGATTTACTACACCTGACCAAACAAAAGAGGGTAGTAAATGAAATAAAGTCCAGAAAGTGGGGTTGGATCGGTCACACACTCCGAAAAAATAACTCCAGTATTGCAAAGACTGCCCTAGAGTGGAATCCCCAAGGAAAACGAAAAAAAGGTCGCCCAGTACAAACTTGGAGAAGATCCATCATGGACGAGATAAGAAAACAAGGAAAGTCTTGGAATGAGGTGAAGGCCTTAGCGCAAAATAGAACCCGATGGCGCGTTTTCACTGAAGCTCTATGCTCCACTTAGGAGTTCAAGAACCTTATATATATATATATATATATATATATATATATATATATATATATATATAGAGAGAGAGAGAGAGAGAGAGAGAGAGAGAAAAAGATCTTTTGTTTTTTGTTCTCAGAAAGATGATATAGTTTTTTTGTACCAATATTAAAAGACTGTTAGAAAAAATGGGTGTATCAGAGTATACACTAGATCACTGGCGTTTCAAACGAAGTTTAAAGTATGTCCTTCTACAGAATAGCAACAAATATGGAAGTATCAAAATTGGGCATTCGACAAAAATGAAAGAAGACTATAAAACAGTATTGCTTGTGCTAAAAAACATCAAGTATGACCAACATCAGTGGTCGATCTGTGTTGATTCTATGGTGGTGAACTTTCTCCTGGGACAACAAGGTGGCTATAAAAAATATCCTTGTTTCCTATGTCTTTGGGATAGCAGGGCTAAGGATCAACACTGGAGTAGAAGAAAATGACGTTCTCGAAATGCTTCAGTCCAAGGAGAAGCTAACGTAGTTAACGAAACATTGGTCGACCGAGAGAAAATAATATTACCTCCGTTACATATTAAACTAGGGCTGATGAAACCATTTGTAAAAGCCCTAGACCAGAATCGTCCTTGTTTTGAATATTGGTTCAAAATCAAATCAAATTCCCTGTACTTAGTAAAGAAAAATTGAAAGCCGGAATATTTAATGGGCCTCAGATACGATAACTTATAATAAGAGATTCGCATTTTGCAGAATCGATGAATTTAATGCATGATGCTCTATTGTGAAAGTTGTCATATGAGTATTAAAGTTCATTACGTCCACAGCCACTTAGACCGTTTCCCAGAAAATATTGGTGACCTTAGTGAGGAACAAGGGGAACGCTTCCACCAAAATTTGAAAACGATGGAAGAGGGGTATCACGGGAAGATGGGACACTCACATGATGGCGGATTACTGCTGGAGTATTCAAAGAGACCGTCTTTTTAAAGTCTTTGCAAGAAAATCCTATAAAAGAAAGTTTTTAGGTGACGCCAAATGGATTTGTGCTGCCACGCTAGTTAATATCTAACTTTTTATTCGTGTTTTGTTTAATTCATGGGTAGCAGCACTACATATATGTAGGTAGTGCTGCGTTAAATTACCCTGAAAACGATCTGATGGAGCAAATCTGGTGGCATTTTTGGATTCAGCAGACCCAAATTACCTAGACACCGTAAAAAAATTTCCGGCAGCAAACTTTGTGTTTACCAGTGTATTGTTGTCAAAAGAAGAGCATTACCCTGAATAGGGTAATTTTATTATATTGTTACAATTAAAATAACTTTATTGGAACAGCAAAAATATTACAACACTTAATTCAATAACTATAAACTTCAAATTACTATCACTAACTAGCAACAACATCTGTTTTTATATATACTCTCTGACGTTCTAGACTTCAGTAGACATTTTAGGAGTTTTCGTTGGCAGTTGACATACAATTTTAATACTCTTTCGTCAAGGGACTTTTTGTATGTGGAATAAATCTTACGGAACTTTCCTAACACTGCCTCCTCCTTTAAAGTTCGCCTATATATTCGCCTCGAATAACTGGTCTATCAAGGACCGGTTGACGCCAACAGGGTTAATCAGTATCATGGTATAAAGTTAATCTCTCGATGTGAGCTACCTTGCGTTTACTTTTAGCTGAAAACTGGATTCGGTAGATTAGATCGTTTATTTTCTACAGGATGGTATACGGATCTTCCCAATTTAGTTGAAGTTTCGGACAAAGTCCTTTATTACATGTAGGATTGTATAACCATATTGGGTCACCTTTTTCGAAAGTTGTACCTGTAACGTACATGTCGAGCCTGGCCTTTAAACTTTTACGAGAAAATTCGTAGAAATTTTTCAATTTTTCTTTCAAATTTTCGATGTACGTCAGGAATGAAATTTCTTGTTTGCAGGAAAGCAATCATTCAGAAATAAGATCTTGAGGAAGCTTTATTTTTCTGCCGGTGCGGTGATCACCATCGATGGAGAATAGCCGGTTGCTTCATGTTGTGAACTTTTATATGAATTCTGCACGTCCTTTATGAATAGATTTTTGGAGTGGTCTGTTACCTTGAATTATTCGAAAAACCGTACAACTCGATACTTTTGTTAAATCTCCACACAATGCCGCGACGTCCTCTATAAACATATCTTGATTTGTTCTACGTAATCCATCATAAACTGATTTTATCATTTGTGTTTCTCTCACAGATAACCATCTCCTTTTTTCTATTTATCAACGTTGGTTTTAATGCCATGCAATAACAATTGCAATGACAATATTACTTTTGAAAGAAACGGTGTCTTGGACTTACATCAAATGTAACCGACTAAAATGATAATTGAGAAGTGATTTTGTGTGCTAATAAATAAATAAATAGATAACCGCTTACCGTTAGGTGTTTACGAATTACAATATGTCTGCCCTGATAATCATATTAAATTTCGACTATACTCCCTTTCCATTTCGATTTCCAAATTAAATATAATTTACTTGAAATTCGGCAACGTCGCAAATAATTTTGGCGTAGCTTATCTCCTTCTATTGCATTTATCAGCTAAAGTATATTTACTGATTTTTCACAGTTTACAAAATTATGGATTTATCACTCGCTAAATTCAATCAAAAAGGGAATTTTTATCACTACACTATCACTATAGTTATCCTTTCTTGAAAAGTTCTATGCCCGTACAACATTCCCTATTATCAGCCACTGGGACGCTGTCCACTGCTTCCGCAGTACCCCAGCTAATACGCTAATAATTACTGGTGTGGTTATTAAAACATTAAATAGGCATGGAGGTTAAAGAGCTTCTAGAGTAGTAGAAGGATTTATAAAAAAATATTTGCAAAATCGAATTAATACATGAAATAAATTTGTTTCTTCAATTTCTTGATCTAATTCTAATTCTTCTAATTGATCTGTAAAGTTTTACTCAACCTATAATTACTTCTGCTAATCACATTTAGTCATTACATTATCTAGCTACGGAAAGCTCGAAACTGAAGTGGAAGATAAAGTAAATAAAGCAAATAGAGCCGCAGGCTGCCTGATTGAAACAATATGGAGAAATGAAAATATCGGGAAAGAAATGAAAGGCAGAATTTTTAAAACAGTCATCAGACCAATAATGACATACGCGGCAGAAACGACCTAATACAGAGAGAACAAAAAGGATGCTAGAAACAGCAGAGATGAATATACTTAGACGAATTTATGATAAGACACTATGGGACAGAGCTAGAAGTACAGATATACGACGTAGATGTAAGGTGGAGAATATCAAGAACTGAGTAAAACTTAGAACAGTAGTATGGGACGATCATATAAGCCGAATGACAACAAATAGAGCAGTAAAGACGGCAAGGGACGGTTCCTCGATAGGAAGACGATTAGTAGAAGGACCTTTTGGCCCCTGGGGGCACATTGAAAAACAGACAGATTCATGTTTATATAAAAAGAAGAAGAAGAATCACATTTAAGTTATTTTTAATTCTCACTGTCTGGCCGTGTAAAAAATACAGAGTGTTGCTAGATAGAATAAAAATTCGAACTCATATCGCTCGCGTTGGGTATTTTCCGCTTATATATAATTTTCATTCTAGCCTTGTTACAAAAGATACTATTTCAGGTTATGGTAGATTCCACTACGAAGCCATAGCGGTCTGCAGTCTATCCATAATAATTGTCGGCTTCCAAAACGGCATTTCTTCTTACATTTTCCCACCCGCTCAGTGCGAACTTAATTTGACGTCTTTAGAGCTGGGGTTTCTCAACGTCTGCTTTCTGATTGGAGGAACCGTCAGCTGTTTCCTTTGGGGCCTTATCGCCGACAATCACGGCAGAAAAAAAGTGTTGATATTTGCTCATCTATGCAACGTCATCGTGACCATGGTTTCTGCTGTTAATCCGTATACTGCAACTCTGGTGTCATGCAGATTTATCAATGGTTTTCTCATGGGAGCACCAGGTAAGTTTTAAATCAAGATGTCTAAAACTGAAACCAAATGCATATAGCAATAACATTAATGAAATATGTGGTGTTTAAGTCAATGTATAATAATTCTAAGACACAGTGCTAATGACAAAACCAATAAAGGTACAACAAACTAGCCAATATGCCCTTCAAACAAAGATATTTCAAGGTGTAACCTTCTTCTTAACATGCCCTATCAAGTCCCCTTGACGTTGGTGATTAACATGGCGAAACTGTCTCTGTCTCGAGCTATTCTAAAGAGTTGCTCAGCTTTCCTTATTCCTGTCCACTTCCTGATATTCTTCAACCAAGAGGCCTGCTTTCTACCAATTCTTCTGCGTCCTTCGATTTTACCCATCATAATAAGTTGAAGAATATTATATCGGTCTTCTCTTACTACGTGTCCAACATAGGCCATCTTTCCACATTTGATGTTATCAAGCAGCTCGCGAGAAGCATTTGCTCTCTCAAGGGCTGCCACATTTGTCAGCATACACGTCCATGGAATTTTTAGTATACGTCTGTGCAGCCACATTTCAAAGGCCTCCAGACGATTAATGGTTGATATTTTTAATGTCCATGCTTCAACACCGTATAACAGGACTGACCAAATGTAGCATTTAACCATGCGCTTTCGAAGTTGAAGCTGCAAGTTATCATTACAGAAGAATGACCTCATTTTTAAAAATGTCGTGCGGGCTATCTCGATTCTACATTTTATCTCTTGATCTGGATCTAGTTGTTCAGTAATATGGCAACCAAGATAATTAACACTGGACACTCTTTGAATTATATGACCATCAACATATAATCGTGCATCTTGATGTGCTAAACGGCTAAACACCATGTGTTTTGTTTTTGAACAGTTTATGTTTAGGCCAAACTCTCTTCCTACTGTATCAATGGCATTTAAAAGGCATTATAGTCCATTCATATCATCGCTTAAAATAACTGTATCGTCTGCATATCTGATTGTATTTATCAGAATTCCATTAATTTTCACGCCCCATTCCAAATTATGCAGCGCTTCTTTAAATATTCTATCTGAATATAAATTAAAAACATTGGGGATAGTATACAACTCTGTCTGACACCTCTTTGTATTTTACATATTTCTGTTGATTTTCCGTTTATGCAAGCTGTCGCTGTTTGACGCCAGTATAACTTTTCTATGAATCGTATGTTTTGTTGCCTATTATTTATGCTAATTATGGATTGTATAATAAAGCAGTCACTAAATACATATACGCTTCTACGCCTACGCAAAAGTAGACACAAAAGACTACATACTACCAGTGGTAGCAATACATAGTCTACATGACGTAACAAATGTCAATGTTTTTTGTACATGACGATTTATTGTATTCGCTCCGTGCGTGACCATGGTAGGGATACATTGAAACGATGCCAGCGTGCGTAGCGGCGAAATATGACAAAATGGGAATATTGGACAAAATATTTTTACGCATAAATTTTATCAAAAATGCGTGCAAATACACGTTGCGTATTTAATTGTGCTAATAATAGCAAAAATGGTGATTGTAGTTTTCATAGGTTCCCAAAAATTACATATAAATTAGAAAAAAGAAAAAGATGAATTCGTGCTATTAATATGAAAAAGTAAATATCACATAGTTTCATTTTTATGCAATTGAAATAGAAAAAATTTAAATAATTTACCTTGAATGATATTTCATAAGGCTACAAGCTAACTGCAGATGACTTTAGCTTTTATATCCTAACTTTTACTATTATTGTTTTTAATTATATGCTCTTTTGCGTGAAAAACTTGATTTGCCAGTACTAGATTTTTCCCTTTCTTTTCCGTTTGGAGTTGAAGAGGTATATTATGATGAATTTTGAGAAACCCAGTTTTTAATACTACATTTATTTTGTACATAAACTTTAAAATATAGCTAAAAAACTAATTTATTAATAATTGTCAATTTCGCATGTATTTAACAATGTCAAACATATGTCATAAGTTTAACCTGAAAATTGGGATTCCCAAATTGTCAGATGAAGGCGGTAGGTGTCGCATCAGTCACGCACGGAGCGAATAGTATAACTGGTTAAATATTTATTTTTATTAAGTGATATCGATATGGACAAACTTCCCTGCATTCATTTTTATGCGCCATTTATTATTCCAAGTGCTTTTTTTGTTCACTGTGAACAGTTTAATACTGTCCGTAATCAAAATGTCACAGATATATAATAATCTAAACTTATTAATGCAGGACTATCTGGTCATGAAGCAGTATATAGCAAGTTTAACACTCTTAACAAACCATCCTCGAAAACCCAACGTTTAGGAAGAATTTTTTTCGCTCAGAACTTTTTTAAATTCCAAAATTTGTGCTTGATATCTGGGTGCCACTTTCTCTGTGTAGATGTAGACTATGATTACAGTGATTTTTTAGATTAGCTTGTCTGTATTTTCAATAATGAATTTTCTTTAATTACAATTAAGTCAAAACATCACAAACTCTGGACTACCAAAAGTATCCGCATATCAGCCAAGAATATGCGTTTACTACTGTACAGTTGCGGTCACGGAATAGTTTACAGGTTCACGTATCTAAGAGCCCATTTTTTAAATATCAAAATATTTTACAAAATGAAAAATATAGAAAACAGTTTTTTGAATAAAATGGATTATGATCTTAATAACGAAAATAAAGAAGTCTTTTTTTTTAATATGCATTTTATTTTAAATCTATTTTATATTAAATAACGATAAACAATGATAAATAATAATTAGTATTTGGTGGAAGCCCCATTCTTGTCAATACAATTTTGCAGTCTTCTGTTCATAGATAGCACCAATCCCCTCATGTTATAGTTAACAAGGTCTTCCCATGCCTGCTCAATTACTTCCCATAATTCAATTCTATTCCGTGGTCTAAGGTTTCTTTCATTTAGTTTCTTTGTTAACTCTGCCCACACATTTTCGACGGGGTTAAAGTCTGCACTACGGGAAGGCCACGGAAGAACATTAACATCAGTTTCTTCTAGCCATTCTCGAACAATTCTACTCGTATGCACCGGGCAATTGTCATGTTGGAAGATAAAGTCGTTGTTGGGGAATCTCTGGATCACCGATGGCAACATTGTGTGCTCAATAATATGTTTGTAATATAATCCTGTTAACTTCTCCTCTACATGATAACAAACGCCCGGGCCTTCGGCACTTATCCATCCCCATACGTTGACAGAGAATCCTCCACTATTTCTTAAATGATGCGTATACTGTTCATCATACCTATGATTTCTCGGCCTATAAACTCTTATTCGACCATTATTATACGACTGAAATACTTTTTCATCGGAAAATACAACCCTAGACCAAAAATTCTCATCGCGGTTTATAAATTCATTACAAAATTCAACTCGTCTCCTCTTGTGATCCTCAGTCAAAAAAGGTTTCCGTGCAGCTACACAATTTAGCAGTCCACTTGCTTTAGTGACCAACCTTCTTCGAGTTTGGCAATTGCTCTTGCTTTTTGCGCATAATTCAAATGTATTCTAACCATTTTGGAAGAGTTTAATATACTTTTATTTTATTGTTGAACACTCGCGAAAGCATTGACGTTTTGAAATTTTTTGACTTTGACATTTATCAAATCCGTACGACACTGCAATTTTACAGTATTACAATATAAAAAGTAAGGTGTAAACTATTCCGTGACCGCAACTGTACATCAAGAAACTTACTACCAACCTATTTGTTACTGAATATATCTTCAAGTACAGAGAAACCTATCTAAAACTTATCAAAATAGCCAAAAAATATACTATTAAAATCGTCTGGAAAGCTCTAAAAATGTTGCAAAAGAAACTTGGTTCATAATAAACGATCTTCGAAATAAAACTAACACAGCTCAAACATTTTCAAACATAATATGAGTAAAAATGTAACATCAGCTATTGCCACAAGATGCTATTTCCTATCTCCCCAATTCAAAAAAGATGTCGAATTCATTCTTTATAAAATCAGTTAATAAATCTGAACTGATCCAAACGCAAAAGCAAATCTTCGTGTAGGACTTAAGGACTATCTATAAAAAATTTCTTAAACCTCCCAAAAAATATGTTGGAAGTCCTGATCTCACTAATTAATTATTCTTTTGAAAAAGGTATATTTCCAGAATGCCTAAAGACAGCCATTATTATTCCTCTTGATAAGAGTGGTGAAAAATTAAATGTCTGCAACTATAGACCTATTGCCTTACTACCCGTCCTGTCCTAAATTATTGAGAGACTTATAAAAGCCCGACTTATGTCCTTTCACGTTGAAAACAACATTTTATCACAAAGTCAGTTAGGTCTTTTATCTAATAAATGTACCAGTGAATCTATGTTTTCTGTACTACCTGAGGTCTATCAAGCAATAAACAATAATCTTTACACTGTTTTTTGTGACTACGCCAAAGTTTTTGATTGTGTAAATCACATTTTGATAAAAATACTAAATTTCTACGGAATTCAAGATATTTCTTTGAGTTGGTTCCAATCTTACTTAAGGAATAGGAAAGAACTAGTTAGAGCAAATGATACTGACTCTAGTCACAAAAGCATTGTATGTGAAGTACCACAAGGTTCAGTATTGGGTCCTCTACTTTTCCTTATCTTTATAAATGACATCACTAGCTTGTATCACTTAGAGGAACTCTAATATTGCAACTCTTTATGCAACTATAACTCTGACTCTAATTTACTGTCTTTTAACGTGGATAAGACAGTAGCATTACGCTATGACGGAGCTCTTCAACCCTTGCTTCTTAATAACAGCCAGATTGTAACGATAATTTTGCCTAACATATTGGGATCATTATAGATGGTTAAAAATTGGGGACAGAAATTACGGGGCTAGATGTAGAGTAAGCAAAACAAACCGAAACGTTTGCAAACGGCTACTCAGGGTTTGTTTGAAGAGCTGAGTCATAGATAAATGAATGACAAGAGGACTGGAATGAGGTAACTATAAAAATGAAACAAAAGGGGTACTTACATGGGTCTCCTGGACAAACACTTAAGCTGTTTAAAGTAAGGACGCCGCTTACAAAAATCTTTCTGCTATGTGAAAAGATAGGCTGTTCTTTCCTAAAAGATATAAAAAAAGGGTTAGAAACGTTTTAAAGGAAATTAATACTCTTTTGTAGGGAAAAAAGAATTACATATTTTATTGTTGTCTCACCAGAAATAGTTACAAATATAAATAGTAATACAAAATATCAAAAAATAAACTTACTATGTTACTATCGGTTTACAAACTCTAGAAATTGGCGATACTATAACAACTTACAATTGTTAATGGGCGATATTTTGTAGCAGAAATAAATTATTACAAATGAAAGATATCTTTTTAAATGGAACTATGCATAAAGGTTAACCTTAAAAAAACAAAGCAAAATAAATTCTAAATTTATGGTTGGGTATGAACCAAATGTCAAAAAATAAAGCTAACTGTCATATCTCAATACTAAATTCTAAACTTTGAGAATATGACAGCTTAGCCACTCCCTAACATTTATGATTTTACTTATTACAATTTCTTAACTTATCATGAAAGCAATTATTGATGGAAAATGTGTATTTTTACCTTTAAAAGTTCAACAAAGAAGTTACTTGAATTTCACTAAATGTTATTTTTTCTCCTTTAAAATTTCTGGGGTTGGAACTGGACTCAAATTCACTGCAACACAAAAAAACTGCGTAAATAGCTCGTCTGGAATGACCTGGGACAAACAGAATGAGGGTGAAATCTGCTCACTGGGACGCACACTTTAAAACTGGGCTTCTTAAAAACTCAAACACAATGTGGATATCCTTCAAAGTTGTTATTTCACTTTTCTACCAACAAATTTGCCGTTATCTTAAGACTACCCACTTCGTTTTTCGTGTCTTTGAAATCTCAAACCCAACCTTCTTCACTTCAACTGCTACATACTACCAAACTTCTTTATTTCCGATAACAAAAAAAGAGCAATAAGGAAAAACCATTACGAATTAGATAAAAAATCGGACTAACACCGAAACCAACTGCCTTTGACAGTGGCCTCACTAAAAGTCGTGCAAATATCTTTAAAACTTATTCACCCAACTCAGTATAAACAGAACATAAACCAACATACTCCTTCTTATTTCACTCGGAAAATATCTTAAAGCGGCTCTCGATCAAAGAAAGTCCGAGGAAATGCGCATCTGTGTATATAAACAAACTTTAAAATGTGTTTATTATCAATTCCAGCAATGCAAAAGGATTGAAAATTATTTTTCGGTGTTTTAACATATATAATAGGAAATAGAAATACATTGAAAATATTCTTCGGAGTTTTAATACATACAAGGTGATTTAAAATGCTACAAGATCAGTATCGTTGATTCTGTAAAATTTCTTGGTATCTGTTTCAAAGGAAACCAATTTAGCATCTTTCAGAATGACATATTTTTCTTTGTTCGAGTCTTATCTTCGATATGGTCTTCCTTTTTGGGATTTAGTACAGCTGCCCAATCTGATGTTATTTTTAAATTATTAAAGAGAGCAGTACGGTCTAGGAAAATAACTGAGCATATTTTATTCTCTTCAAGAGATCTCTCTATAATGCTTGTTTCAATGTATTTGGTCTACTGTTGAGTGTTTATCACAGAATCCAAATTGATGGGGAGGAATAACACTATGTATATTTATATATTTAATTATGTATTAATATTTATAATTTATTATAACTAGTAACACTGCTTTATTATTAATTAACTAATATAATGCTTTGTTCAATTTCAGGTAGTTTGATGTACACATATATTGCAGAATTTCAACCATCTACACACCGTTTCAGAACCGTCTGTATTTTAGGATTATTCTTCATAGCATCTTGGTTATTCCTCCCAGTGTTAGCATATCTAATTCTACCAGTAAAAATTTACTACAATTTTAAAAATATATTTATAATATCCCCATGGAGAGTTTTTCTTCTTATTATTGCTATTCCTGAAATACTAGTATGTCTTTGGTTGACAAGATTACCAGAAAGTCCCAAATTTTATATAGCCAAAGGAAATCACAAAAAAACACTGAAAATTTTAAAGAGAATCTATTCTGCGAACTCGGGAAAGAGCCCGGAATTATTTCCTGTTAAAACCATCATCTGCGAAGTTTACAATAATCTTCAAAACAGTGAAGTCATGGTCAGCGGAAAGACTGCAAGAGTTCTGAAGGAAGTGACGAATCAAATTAGAAAGCTATTCCAGAAACCTTTCATTACAAAGACCTTTGTGATCAGTGCAATCATGTTTAGTAATATGTTTGGGTAAGTAATTTTTATCACTATTGTTCATTGATTAAGCCCAACAAAATAACAAGTCAATTCTTTACTAAAGCATCGAGTAATAATTCTTAGAATTAATTAATATTACCCTGAGGTTATTTGCTTGTGACATTTTAATATTATTAAATATCTTTAATGGAAATTAACGACAATTTCAGTTTAAGGCTCATCCTCGAAAATCCTAACGTTAAATTTCAGTGGGCTATCTCTATTTCAAAAATTTCTTTCTTTACGAAAACAAAATCTGTTTATGCAGTAATATTCTAAACTTCGTTCAGATATCTTTCTCAAGCCCAGGTCCAAAATGCGTTAATCTTTTACTCGAGCCGATTATACAATCGGGACAACCCCTGAAGTGACAGGTTTTGGGCTTACAATAAAATCATAAATTTCTTTTTAGTGGTGTTTTGAGTAAATAGAATAACAGATCAAAGTAATATAATCTATTCATAAATTTACAATGTAACAAAGGTACATACATAATTTATTTGTTACTTTTTTACGGAAAAAGTGGCGGTCTGAATTTTAATGTAGATTAAAGTTTACGCAAAATAAAAAATATAAAAAAAAATTATAATTATATATCATAAAAAGTTGATTAGTATCACGATCATTAAAATTGATAAAATGAAACTATATAAATATAGAATTATGTCTAATGTTTCTTCAGAAGGTGTTCCAAATAAAAATTATAATAAAAATCTTGCAATTTTTGTAGCATATTTTCCCATAGTTCCATACCTTTATCAATCTTTTCAAATAAAATATTTTTGGGGTTCATACCGCAAACTAACAGTATTCTCTATTCGATATAAATAATAAAATAACTGTCCTTGCACTGAATAGTAATAAGAATCAGTTCTTTTTAAAATTTCTTGAAGGAAGGAATAATTTAGTCACGCTATCATTTCCAATTTTAATTTTTAATATTAAATTTGATAGGTTGTGGTTTATTACACCAAAATCTAATAAAATATTACATGACACAAGAAATAGTTTCAGAATAAGTTTGATGTGTTGTTTATTATAATTCAGTAAGAGACGAATTCACTTATTACAATACTAATCTAACAGACAATTATTATTGTCAAATAAAAGAAATAAGATAATTTACTTGTGGTTAGTAAACGTCGGCCCTATGCAACTAATTGTCAACAAAGAACGGATTACAAAAGTTTAGATTTATGAGATGTATGAGGAGCATTTATGAAACTTAGATGTATACTGAATACTTATTTCAAAAATTTACAACTAAGGATTTAATTTGTTATATGTAAATATACTCCAAGATCTAGAGAAAATGGGAGTGCGACACTGGGATTTACTGGCACAGGACCGACAAATAAGGGAGGCAATAGTAACCGCGTCAAAGACTCACGAAGAGTTGAAGTGCCATTGATCATGATGATGATGATGAAATATACTGTATTACTATTTATATGGATGTGAAATATGGATCATGAAGGATAATATGATGGACAATTTAGGACGTGACTCAGGTATATGATACAGTATGGCAAAGATGCCATACATATAAACTAAGACTAGATTTACCAAAACGATACTCTCGAATAATTGACTCCCGAATCTTGTAAGGATATTTCAGAATTAAACAGGAAGAATCATACACGGAACTGAAAGAAATTACAGCAGGACTGCCACAAAGAAGTGTCTTTACCTTTTGTATACGTGTTATATTATTGTCCTAGAAAATAATACAATTGCAACAATTACCGATGATACTGCTATCATAGCAATATGCAAAACCAGCGAGGAAGCGACAAAGAAATTACGCAGATGTTAATCAAATATATACTCCAGAGAAAATAAGAAAAAAATAGACCTTGTTCGTGACACTCAATAATCCAGGTCTCTGACAACTTTTTTAGTTATTGTAGACCTATAGGAAGAAAACCTACTTGTTTCCTGCCTTGAATTTGGAGTTGTTTTTTAATTATTAACAATTTAATGCAAAAAACGCGATTTTTTCTATGATTATTGATACTAGTATTAAAAAAAAAAAATTTTTGGAAGAAAATTATTTTTGCACGAATTGTTTAAACAAACTAGACTATTTATTAATTAATTAATAAACAAATTAAATATTTGTAACGTACGTAGAAATTACATACAAATTAAAAAAAGAATGATCAAAATCCATTGAGTAGATCTGGAGATATAGAAAATTTTATTAGTTTGAAATTGCTTGTTCGATATGGATCACAGAATGGATTTGTAGGTTCTTTCTAGTCACCATTTAAACTACATTTTTGAAAATTCGTAGGGGACCCTGTAAAGGTACAATGTTTTTGCAATTTTTTTAACAAAATATACAAATCCCATTCCTTAACGTGGCATTAATGAGGTTCTTTAATTATTATAATCAAATCAGCTGTGAATTATCATCTTTTCTCTGAGTTGATCTACTACTTGCTATAATTGGCCGTAAAACGCTTCCCTTGTTGTTTGAGGCTTATTATTTTCTGGGCCGTATACTCCGATAATGTTCAGGTTTTCCTTCTGCATTCTTATCTTTGATGTTACTATTCTTTCTGATATATATTCACACTCTTTAATGTAATTTTAATACCTTTGGTGTATTTGTAAGGCTACACCTTCTTTGGTCCTGTTTTCTTTTGTTACTCCACTGTAGATTAGTATGTATTCACCTAATTTTGATTGACCTTTTCCTTAATTTTTTGTTTCATGTAGAGCACAAATGTCTATTTTTTTCTCTTTCAGCATTTGGGTTATTTCTTGGTCCCTTGAGTTGAGTGATCTGATATTCCAAGTAGTAATTCTCATCTGGGTTTTGGATATTTTTCGCTTGTCCTTACTTCTTGCCGTAGTCGTCTTCATAGTATCAATCCGGTTCCGAGGCGGTACATTGTTTCCTTAAGCAGTATTTGTTTTTACGATTGATAGGTTGCTAACCAATAAATGTTTATAATTAAATTTCATATTCAAATACTGCAAAATATTTGGTTATTACTCTGAGCTGATGTAAAGAAGAAAAGAAAATAATAATTCTGATTGAAATACAAAAAAATGTACTTGCTGATTGACCAAAATTCTACGCTGTTTCTATGTAATAAATTATTATTATATAAGCAAATACTGAAACAATAGTATTATTATAAAAACAGTATACATATTTAAAAGAAAAATGTCACAAGTTAACAGAAAATATTTCTATTCATATAAAAATTTAATCAAATTATAGGTACCTAGTTACTGCTTATTTATATAAAATTTCCTATTTTAAATACAATAAACACACTGGTTTGTCAAAAGTCGGAATAAGCCCTAATAATGTTATTCAACATTATTTTTATCCTCTTCCGAGGGCTTACCTACCTGCTGACGAGAATCCAGAAGCTACCGACAAGGACAGATTGTGCTGACGGATAGAGAATTACATTTAGCAGAACTTTGAAATTTTTTAAAAGTTTATACCAAATAGCTGCTTTGTGTTACACTTTATGTTAAAAATAAAAACAGATTCGGAAAGTGGGTAAAATTCTCTAGTGCCCTATTTCAAAAAAAAAAAAAAAATTTAACGTTTATTTTAACCAAAAATATTTGAAAAAAAAATTGTTTAAACAATTTATTAATTTACAACCAAATAGTGCACTAGAACTTTTTAAGACCTTTCATATAAAAAAAGAATCATCTCAATATCTGCCATAGTTTGGAATTTGGCTATGCCCAGAATCGCGAGGATCGGCCTTAAAATACGTTTATTTTGACATTTCGATTGTCTTTTCGAACTTCGAAGAACGGAGAAATAAAAAAGAACGATTTTCGAGAAGGAAATCGAAACGTAAAAATTAACGTATATAATGTTAGTTCTCACCATGTGGGTTGTACCATTTTGAAAACCACGATTGACTTAGAATCTTAAGGAGGTCAACCTTAGCTAAAATATCTCCTCTTCACCATTACAAAGACAATAATGGAGATCCCTACCCTGGCTAGCTTTTCTCAGAGATAGTTCGATAAAGACAAACTATTAAATAATCACATGAGAGATCAAAGCATAATACAAGTCCATATATCTTTATTATCTCTATGTTACAGCAAGTCCTGTACAAGGTGGCTGAAGGCATACAAAAAGTGACTGAATGTCCAAACAAAATGAACTGGCTGAAGTATCAAAAGTAAAAAAGGTAGTTAAATACCTAGGTTTTAAAGAAAAATGTCCTTAGGAATCACTTAATCTGCTATGCTGTTTTTCATGTAGGGCTGCTGGATGGAAAGTTGACGATGTTACTGAGATATCAAGACTCTTAGTTATTTAGTACAGGGTGTAGCTTGGTAGCTGCATTACACCATTTAATTTATATTCCATTAGATGTGGAATGGATTTGGTGGTGAATCGATCTGGAATTGAGCCTGGTGGAATGGAGGATTTATTACCAGTAGCCCCAAAACGCCCCATCGTAGAGGGGAAAACGAAAAAAATCAATTTACCAAGAATCTGTATGCCGTTCAAAAATCTTTAAAATAAATAAAGCTGAGATAATTTTAAACAAATTTGTCTATTACCACTTTTGTGTAAAGTCAACCGTTCTCTCAGAAACAATGCTTGATGCAAGACCAGCGGTTTTGAAATCAATTTTGAATAATATTTGTGTCAACTCGACGGTAAGAATTCGATATCTTTTAATCAGAGTGTCCTATCGACAAAAATCAAAATGCGTTTGATGAAAGAGTGCTGTTTTTTATGCAATTTTTGTATTTTACAGCAAATGAAGTCAGTTTTAATAAAGGTGTTTAATAAATACACAAAATAAACTTGGGTAGTGGGTAGGAACTCCTTGGAATTCCCTGGATAATCCTATCAGGGAAAAAGGTGGCTGAAAGTACAGGTCCACCAAATTGGAGGTTTTGGCGTCAGGCTTTAGCATCCTGGCACATAAAAAAACAACAAAGGGCGAAAATACAAGAAGCAAGATGAAAAATAAAAAATATAGTTCCCC